GCCAGTGAGCGGCCGGTCTGTATGTGGGATCCGAATCCTCGGCGGGAGCGCCACCGCGCTTAACAATTACTGACTCAATTGAAGAATTTGTATTCCTCTTTCCTACAACCTAGACTTGGCTAGATTAGAGGCTTGGTTCCCATGGACTGGGGGGATGCTTTCATCATTGGACCCACTAAGGGTTCCAGTGAATTGAAATCTACAACTATCACATGATCACTTTGGGCTCCCCATGCCAGTGGACAAGCATGCAAAGAAAGGGGGTGTTCTTCTGGTGGGGATTATTGACTCTGATTATTATAAGGCACTAAAGAGGAATATGTCCGGACCCAAGAGATCCATTGGTGTGTTACTTTGAGGCTTCATGATAAAGGTGAACAGGCAATCACAGCAATCATGAAGGGCAAGGCAACTAGAGCTCAGAATCTTTGATGATGAAGGTCTGGACCACACTACCCAATCTAGATCTTCTGAAATGCCGGCCAAAGGTGAGGGAATTTAGAATGGGTAATAGAGGAGGGAGGTATGAGTCCAAGTATAGCCTCAGGACCAGCTGTAGTAAGGACTGCAGCTCAGTGGGTCTCTAAGTGTGACCCCTGACTAGCAGCATCAGCATCATCTGAGAATTTGTTAGAAATGCAAATTCAGGCCCCACCCCTGATGGAACAAATCAAATACTCTGGAGATGGCCTCATGGTCTATATTTTAACAAGCCTTCCAGGTGATTCTGATGCACTAGAGCTTGAAAACCACTGCTGCAGCTCCTTCTCCTAATGTACAGCATTAAGTCCTTCCAGGTCCCACCGCCTTGAAGGAATGGATCTAACAGAGGGCAGATCTAGTAGAGCACTCAGATGGTGGGGGTGGGCCATGTCAGACAGCTTCTGTGCACCACTTCAGATCCTTTCAGCCACACAGCTTCCTCCAGCCACTGATGCAGTGACCAATTCCATGCAAGTTTGGACAACTTCATGCAGGTGCTGTTTGACTGTACCTTGTCTCAGGCCAATGCTGAGTACCTCTTCCTGCTTTGAGGTGTCTTTGACACAAAACATGGGAAACATAGGGAACCCACTTTGCACTCACATAGCGTAATCTGGAAATGCAAGGCAGGTGACAGCTTGGGCCACCCTTGACCAATGGTGGCCATAAGCAAATGGATAAATGCCTTCCCCTTTCATACCCTGGCCAGACACCTGAGACATGTTTCATAAGGCTCCTCAGAGGATCCGGCAGAATAGAAGACCAGTTACCTGCAGCACTGGCCAACTTCATAATGTGCCTTTGTATTGGCTTTTCCCATTTCCTCTGTCCCTCGTAACTATTCTCTGGTGTCACTTCCCAAGTAAACTACTTTACACGGAAGCCACTGTTTTAAGCTGTTTTGGGGGAACCCATTCTAAAATCCCCAGCTGCCTGGAATACTCTGGGCATTTTTCAGGAGTCATTCCTGCTTCTTATGCAGATCTTAGACTGTCCTCTACTCAAAGTGGACTTCATTTTAATGATCTAATCCAAAGTAGCAAGCTTCTAACATCAGATCACCCATTTTGAATTCTCTGCATAGCATCTATCACTGTTGGATATCTTTTTTTTTTTAATCTTTTTTTTTTGGCAGCCAGCCAGTATGGGGATCCAAACCCTTGACCCTTGTGTTATAACACCATGTTCTAACCAACTGAACTAACTGGCCAGCTTGACTTTTTATCTTTTAAAAAAATATATAAATGCAGTATTGTTAGTACCTGCCTTGGATTGAGTGTCCTCCCAAAACTTGACCCCCACTGTTACAGTGTTAAGACGGTGGGAAATCCTATTACGGTAATTGAAGGGTGCAGCCTTGAAGAGTGATTAGATCATAGGACAATGCCATAGTGAATTGATTAAAAATGGTGGTCGTGGGTGTGGTTTGGAGGGCTTTAAAAGGAGAGTGAATGAGGAGGTTAGTCTCTCTCTCTCCCTGCTCCACTATTTTCGCAATGTGATACCCTGCCACCACTGTTGCCACCACCAAGGTTATCACCAGATGTGTTCCTTGGACTTTGGACTTCCTAGCCTCTGAAACTGTAAGCAATAAATTTCATTTTCTTATAGATTACCCAGTTCCGTGTATTTTGTTATAAGCAATAGAAACGGACTAAAACAGTACCTTTGTCCTGTATTAGAATATCCTGCACACGAGAAGAGAGACCTGGCCTGTTTTGTTCTTTGATGTTTTCCCAGCATCTAAAACAGTGCCTGGTACATAGTAGGCGCTGAATAAATATTTCTTGATTAAATAAATGAATGCTGGAGTTTGAGAATAAGACAAAATCCCAAATCAAGCCAGAATCTGAGCTAATAGACTTTTGGGAGAAAAAATGCATATTTCAAATTTAAATTTATTTAAAAATTACAAAAATGTCTCCACCCAAGTTGTCCGTAAAAATATTTAAAAGTGGCAACAATGATCTTGGTTAATTTTCAGCAGTCTAATGCAATTTATAAAATTGAACAAAATTTGGATGTGTGTCTTATGCCTCTGTAGACACGGGATCCTTTCTTTAGGCCTCTTTCTTTAGAGTCTGGTAGTATCATTACTGGGACACTTTCCAAAGCCTTTTTCCTTTGGACTCTATGTAAAATGATTCTATAGACTCCTGTGATTGAGCTTCGAGCATCTCTTCCTTGGTTATTTCGAATATGCTCTTCTGTGATACCCAAATGTTCTAAAGTGCTTTTCACCTCATTTTCTTCTTCTTTGAGGGTGCTGGTTTCTGACAAATGTTTGGGATCCAGCTGGAAAGGTTCCAAAGGGATGGGGTAAGGCACCCCTTGCATCCATTCATTGTTCATGATGTAGTCGATTCCATACCTCTCTGTGGGTACAGGCTGGAGGACTCCTCGGATGAGTCGGTGGCACGGCTCCGACACATGTGGGGGCACGCTGTAGGTGCCCTCCAGGATGCTCTTCTTCAGTTTGGCCACCGTCTCTGCCCGGAAAGGCATGGTGCCAGTTACCATAAAGTACAAAAGCACCCCCAAGGCCCAGATATCTACATAAATGCCAACGTAGTGCTCATCTCGAAACAGTTCAGGTGCAGCATAGGGAGGAGACCCACAGAAAGTGTTCAGCATTTCACCTTTCTTACTTATCGTGCTGAATCCAAAATCGCCCACCTTCACACAAGTATTACCGGTATAAAATACGTTTTCTGCTTTCAGGTCTCTATGAATAATCTGGTTTTCATGCTGTGGAAGAAGACATGGGGAAAAGTCATTTTCAAAGTAAAATTCCAAAATAAAAACTATCAGTTGCTCTGTAACACTGACGTGATGATGGTGTAATAAAAGAAATTCAGTGGAGATCAGTTTAAATTATGTTAGCAAGCCCTGTCACAACCTCTAGCCCAATGCAATGCCCCCACCTCCAAACAGACCAGAGGTTCTATTTTTCTGTGAGGTGAGGTTTAGAGTCTGTTCCACACATGTGGACTTAGGAATTAGTGCCCAAAATAAGACGCAGATCATATGAAACAACACATTCTGAAACAATGAAACAGCAATCCTAGTTTTTGAAGTCATATATAGGTTTTTCAGGCTGAAGGACCTCTGGACTGGGGCCAAGACCAGGAAGGCTTGGAGACCCCTCCCCTACAACTTTCCATCCATGCTCTTTTGGGTGACTTCTTCATCTTTACAGGATTCAGTAGAAGGGAGGGGGCTGTGTTTGGCAAGGCTCTAGCAGCAGGTCCCACTGTGGGTTGTGAGCCCATTCCCTACTCCCACCCTTGCATTCTGGATCCAGACAATCTTCTAAGGACCCCTGACCTCTTCAGCCCCAAGGGCTCTTGGGAAGTGGTTTAATGTTACTTTTCCTGATGGGCCTCTGGAGGCAGACGGGCTGGTCAATTCTATATTCAACTATAGCAGCTGTGTAATGTGAGTGTCAGTTTCCTTTTTTGTAAAATGAGAGACTGATATCCACCTGCTGAGGCTGTTGTGAGAATTGCATAAGGTGCTGTATCAGCAGTGCTTGGCATGGTCCTGGCACACAAACTCAATAAAATGTGAATGAATCTGTGATTCACTCTTCCCCTATTCAGAGACCTGAGAGCTGGGAGAAATGGCAGAGTGTATAAGTGTGAGAGCCGAGGACTCACATCTGTACCCTCTACTGCTGGGTTCTCTTCTGCCCTCCCTCCAGATTACATTTCCAAGCAGAATATGGGAGATTCTTCAGCCATCAGTTCCATTACTTGGTTTGGGTGTGGCTTATTCCCTGGCCCTGGGAAGTTCACCACAGCCAGGGCCACTTAAATGACTACTGGTGATTGCATCCACCTCCACTACAATCAAGTTCTTCTCTCTGGCTCCTTACTGCTAGTTTGGGTCACTAATTCCCCTGTGAATTCTTTGGCCAGGATTTCACCGATCCCAGTTTTTGCCCCCACAACCATCCAGGCAGAGAAGGGAACAAGAAAAAGCCTTTTAACTAATATAGACCCCAGGCAAGTGTCTCTTTTCTGCCAGTTGGATGCCCTCACTCAACTGAAATCTGGGTAAGGAGGGTGGCCAAAAAGTTTGCACTAACAGGGCAATAAAAGTGGTAGTCAGGTCCACAAGTCAAGTTCCTCCTGTGTGCCCAGCAACATGGCCAACAACAGAGAGGGCACAAAAGAACCAGTTCTTGGAGGAACCAGGGAGTGTGCTCCAGGAGTCCAGATTTATCTAAGAAATAACCAGAGAACTAAATAAGGATGACATAATCAAGTGTTAATCTGCTGGGCACAGAGCCAGTAAGAGCCAGGGGATCGCTGAAGGTGAGAGAGATCAGTGTGAGCTGATGTGACACTGAAGAAAGTTTCCCAGAGAGAGAACCGAGCTGGTCATGAGGTGTGGCGAGGATTTGGAATGGGAGACATGACAAGAGGGGAGAGGGCATCCTAGGCAGTGTGGAAGGCAAGGCCAAGACCCAGCAAGATCCACCTATCTGGCTAGTGAAAGATGAGGTTGGAGAAATGGGTCCGGCCAGTGAGAGGGTGATGTTCATCGGCTGCTCCAAGTGCCTCCTGCTGACTTCTGCAGAAGCCAGGTGGTTGCCACGTAACTGGAGGTCTCTGGGTGGAGCATGACTCCAGCCAGACTCTGACTCTTACAGAAGGCACTACTGTCTGCCCTTGTAGGACTGAAGCCCTCTGGGTCACGTAAGTAATGGTAATCTAAAGCCCCGCACTCCCAATGTGGGTGGAATGGCAGCAGGATTCTCATTCCCCGCCCCGGCTCACCATGTGCTTCACGGCAGACACAATCTGGGAGAAGATGAGCTTGCTTTCTGCTTCGGAGAGCTTCCCTTCCGTGCTAATTTTCCCAAAGAGCTCCCCACCCCCTGCATACTCCATCACCAAATGGAGCTTGGACAAGGTCTCCACGACCTCGTAAAGGCGGATGATGTTGGGATGGTGTAGTTTTTCCATGCTTGAGATTTCACGTGATAGTAACCTTTGGGTTTTCTGGTCTAACTTGGTCTTGTCCAGGATCTTAATGGCCACTTTTTCTGGAAAAAGAAAAAAAAAAAAAACAGCCAAAAGATTAATGTTGTTAACATAATACATGCCAACAATTTCTGTATTGGCTCTTGCAGTAGAGATGGATTACAGGATATCTGGAGCCTATGTTCCTACCTCAGCTTTTCATTCCCATGAGGCTGGGAGAGGATGTTGTTGCTTGGCAGTTCCTGCTCCACATAATTTGTAAATCTGCATATGCCTGTCTTTGTCTTTCTGTGAATTCACCAGAAAAATATGTATATACAACATGTTCCATTTCACCTCCCAAGAAGAGACTTGGATCAGCCCCTTTATTTTACTAGAAAAAGAGGTCGAGTGGCTGTTTTTAAGCTCACTCAGAGCTCATCAGTGGTTACGTCAAAGCAATTCTTGAATTCAGTATCTGTGCTCTTCCCTCGGATCAGTGTGTCTTCCACACCTAGGTGAGTGTGAGTCTTCCACATCCAGGTTTTGATACCAAATCCTACCTCCCAAGGGAGTTCTCAGTGTGATGATGTTTATCAAATGCTCTGGATAAAGCAAAGGCTTAGCCCAGAGAGCCGTGCTTGATCAGACCTGGCCTATCTCTTCAGCCTCTTGTCCATCATATCTGTCCTCCATCCCCAACTCCCTATGTACCCTTAGTCCAAACATTACAGAACTTTTTGTCATTCCCTGAAAAGGTACCAAACATTCACATCTGGGGCCTTCCCTCCACCTGGATCATTCTCTTCATCATGCCTTCTCTATTTTCTACTCAGTTGATTCCTGATGATCCTTCAAGGCTTGGCTCAGCATTAACCTCTTCCAGGAAGCTGCCTATGACACCTGTCCTGGGATCACAATGATGTCCAGGTTCCATGTATTCAGAGCTCTGGCATACTGTAATCTCAGCACACTGGCCTATAAATGTTGACTCCCTCGTTCCCCTTCCATGCAGGGACTGTTTGATTTGACTTGTTGGTGCCTGGCACGTAATGTGATGTACATGACACACCAGTAGTCAGTGTTTACAGAGTGCTGGGGAGGGCATGAGGACATTAGCATTGTGCTGCTGATGGGAGGGTTCATTGGTATGATGCTTCTGGATTGTAGTTTGGTATTATGCATTGAAGCCCTTAAAAATGGTTGCACCTGTGCCCAAATTCCCCTTCCATGCAGGGACTGTTTGATTTGACTTGTTGGTGCCTGGCACGTAATGTGATGTACATGACACATCAGTAGTCAGTGTTTACAGAGTGCTGGGGAGGGCATGAGGACATTAGCATTGTGCTGCTGATGGGAGGGTTCATTGGTATGATGGTTCTGGATTGTAGTTTGGTATTATGCATTGAAGCCCTTAAAAATGGTTGCACCTGTGCCCAACCATTTCATTTTTGGCAATTAATCTTAAAGAAATACTCCGACACGTGTACAAGGATGCATGTGTAAGAAGACTTCTGTGATACTGGGAGCAGCTTAAGTTGCAGCAAGAGAGACGGTTAAAATAAAGGGTGGTACATCTAATTTTATCATGGTACACCATGCAGCTATCAAAAATAATGATGTTGATCTTTATTTATTGATATGATAAGATGTTCCATATATAATGAGTGAGGAAAAATGCAAATACATATTTGCATGGAAGAAAAATCTGGCAGGTTAGTCACCAAAATGTTTAAATAGTTATTTTATAATTGGGGGATCACAGATGGTTTTTCTTTAAATTTTGCTTTGCTTGTCTGTATTTTCTATTTTTTCTACAGTGAATAATAGTGTAATGAAAATGGTTGTTAGAAAATGAAAGAATCTCAGCTCCAAAGTAAAACAGCATTCATTTTTTGGTTCAAACTTGGCCAGACTTTCTATTAGATAACAAAGAAGTTACCAGGCAAGTGAACAGAAAAGGATCACAGAGTACCTGTTTTACCTACTTACAAAACAGCTGCTTTGAAGAACTTTGGCACAGTGGTTATTGGCATGAAAATAGATGCCACTAGTTTAAAATAGGTGTATTATTGGCATATTGAAGTAGTTCCATTAGGGCTTCTGGGAAGGTAAGAGGCAGGGATCACTGGTGTCTGGTTTGGCCAGTGCTGCTTCTGCTGGAGGCAATATTGAGCAGCAGGGAGGTGAAAAGGTTTGAATATTAAAGGACAAAAGGAGGACTAGTAGCTGATGGTAAAAAAAAAAATGAATAAGTAGGTTATGAATTGAAGAAAATCCAATATTACATTAAAATCTCAAAAGAGACTCAGAGCAAGAAATGACATTTTTCTCTTAGCTCAATTGTACCAAATGCCTGAAGGATGAAGCTGTATATTTGATAAGACCACTCCTGCTTTTGGAACCTGACAAGATTGAATGAAAACCTGCAATGAGCACCTCACCCTAGGAGATCCATTCATATGACATGATAATAGATTGGACTAATTATTAATGACCGAATGGGATTCTAGTAACATGCCCTTATCTTTGGGTTGTATATCCTTTTCCTGTAAGGGATTCATGTTCGAAAACGAGGGAGTAGATAGACTGTGATACTATATTTATATTCTGGTTTTCATCCACGGTTCCTGGCTCATGCTACTCTTCGACCTTCTCCTTTCACCTGCTCCTTTTTCTCCCCGAGGCAGGAAATTCTCTGACCTACCTTAGCTAATTGTAGGTCATACAAACTCCATTTCAGGAGGAGTCCTGTCCCATATCCGGGAGGAAGGAATACTGCATAGAGAGGACAGGAAGAATCTAAACAAACAGGCCTTGTTGGCTTTCCCTATACGGCCTGTTAGTGTTTGATCAGACCCTTTTTGTCCAATCATTTCTACATGGTGGTCCATGTTTCAATCATGCCCGTGTAATGATGCTGCCATAAAAACCCGAGAACACAGGGTTTGGGGAGCTTCTGGAGAGCTGAACAGGTGGAGGTTCCTGGAGGGTGGTGCGCTCATGGGGGGCATGGAAGCCCCACGTTCCCTCCCCCATACCTCACCCTATGCAGCTCTTCATCTGTATCCTTTGCAATGTCCTTTATAATAAGCCAGCAAACATAAGTGTTTCTCTGAGTTCTGTGAGCAGCTCTAGCAAACTAATCGAACCCAAGGAGGGGGTTGTGGGAAACCCGATTTACAGCTGGTTGGTCAGAAGTTCCAGAGGCCTGGGCTTGCGACTGGCATCTGAAGTGGCGGGTATTCTTGGGGACTGAGCCCTCAGCCTATGGGATCTGATGCTATCTCCACGTACATAGTGTCAGAATTAAATTAGAGGACAGCCAGCTGGTGTCTGCTGCAGAATTGCTGGCTTGCTTCCAGTGGGGAGAAATCCCCATACATTTGGTCACAGAAGTCAAAAGTCTATCTTCTGTGTTGGTGTTGTGCTGTGAGAATAGAAAAAACAGTTTGTTTGTGTTTTTTCCCTTCAAACACGTCTACACTCGGATGTTGACTTAGTTGGGGTTCTGCCAGAAGCAGATCTTGAGGCAGGGATTCAGATGCAAATAGTTTATATGAAGGAGGTGATCCCAGGACACATGAGTAGTAGAGTGAGGAAGTGAGATAGAAGAGGAAAGGCAGCCAGTAGAGGGTGTGTTAACCAAGCAAGTTTCCAATTAGTCCTGCTAGGAGTTCCCATGCCTAAGTCTTATCATGAGAAGAGCGAGAGGGCTAGGGATTTATACATCAACTCCTGCCAGTAATTGGTGATTGCCACTCCTGGGAGATGTTAATTCTATACTTCTGGCTGCCATGTGTGCAACAGAGAAGGCTCCAGTGGCTAGAGAAAGCCCAGAGGCAAAGGGATGGAGAAACTAGCAGTTGAAGGCCATACCTGCCTGCAGTGAAATGGTAAGGCCCCAGGAAACACGCGTGAGGCACCAGCAGAATCTGCTCTCTAGTGGAACAGATGTGTAATAGGCATGTCAAGTGTAATGTGTTCAGTACTGAGCTCTTGATCTTCCCCAGTCCAACCTACTGCTCCTGCAATCTTCCCCACTTCAGGAATGGAAACTCTATTCTTGTGGTTGCCCCAAGCCAAAAACCTTTCAGTATATGACACTTCTCTTTTGCATTCCACTTGTCAATCTGTCAGAAAATTCTATTTTCTTCAGCCTTTTAAATATAGCCCAAATCCAGACACTGCTCAGCATTCCACCACTACCTTTCTGGTCTGAGCTTGCCTGGGTTATTTCAAGGGGCTGCTAACTGCTCTTTCCTTTTCTGCCCCCTGCAGTCTGTTTACAGCAGAGCAGCCAGAGAGATCCCGTTAAAGCTTAAGCCAGATCCTGTCACTCCTCTGCTCCCTCTAATGATTCCTCTTTCATTCATAGGAAAAGCCAAAGTCCATACTGTGACATCCTTGTCCCTGCAGGATCTGGTCCCTGCTACTCTCCGCCCTCATCCCTGGCATTTCGAGAGCACTGCAGGCACATGCCCATCCTGCAGCTCTTGTACGCTCGCTGTTCCCTGCCGACGGCTCTCCCCAGAGGCATGCATAGCTGCTCCCTCGTTTCTTTCAGTTCAATGATCACCTCCTCGGTATGGCTGTCCCTGGCCAACTCCTTTGAAAACTGTAGCTCTCACTGCTTCCTACCTCCCCTCCTGCTCTATTTTTTTTCTTATCACTACGGGACATAATGAATATTTTACAAAGCTATTTTTGTCTGTCTCCCCCACTAGAATACGAGCTCCATAAGGACAGAGATTGCTGTCTATTTTGTTCACTGCTGTATCTCCAGTCCCTAGAATAGTGCCTGTTACACTGCAGGTGCTCAACAAATATTTGTTGAATGAATGATCTCATTTAATCCTCACAAGAACCCAAAGTAAGTATTATCACTGCAGTGTGCACTCAGTTTTGCACCTTGCTTTTCATTTATTCTTATGTCCCACACTTCGTTCATGTCACCACAGAGTCTTTATTACTGTGACTTCCATTGGCTGTGTAAACTTCTGTCCACTGGATATGCTTTAATTTACTTGACCATTCCTGTATCGTTGGATTTTATGTTATTACTAGTCCTCAACATTATAAA